TGGAGGGCAGTCAGGGCAGGAACGCGGAGGCAGGAGCTGATGCAGAGACCATGGAGGGAAACTGCTTACTGGTTTGTTTCCCATGGCTTGCTCAACTTGTTTTCTTATACAACTCAGTGCCACTTGTCCATGGATGACACCACCTCCAATGAGCTATGCCTTCTCAGATTAATCAAGAATTAAGAAAATGCCCCCACAGACATGCTCACAGGTCAATCTCATGAAGGCAATTCCTCAATTAAGTGTCCCTCTTCCTACATGTCAAGTTGACAACAAAACTTAACAGCACATCAAGAGAAAGACTTATATTCAATGGTAAATTGGTTTGAGATGACATGTTGCCAGCAGATATTTCTGTTGCAGTGTACTTAGAGCGATCTGTCTTTCCTTTGTTCATCTTGTTCATCCATGCAGCTTAGTACACACGCAACTCATGCTTGCACGAGCCAATGCCACTTTCTTTCAATCTTACTCTTCCAAATGTCAAAGCATAAATATGTAAGTCTTCCCTGGTTTTGTCTTTTGAACCTATTAAAGTTATAAAATAAAACACAGACGTAGATAATCAAGCACAGAGGCAGGAAATGACATGAAACAAGAGCTGATGCCGGTGAGTCACCACTAACAAATCGCTGGCCATCTCCGATCGGAACGGAAGGCGGCAGTCTGCTGGCACACCTCCAGACCCCTCTGTGGTCACGCCGCCCTCCCCAGATTAGCTGTGTCCTTACGCTACAACGTAACGTCATGGTCATGCACTTGGTGTTGTTGAGTGTGATCCTGCTGGGTTGCCGGCACCGGCGAGGCCACAGTGGCTGCCACCCACAGGTGATGCTTTGGGTCCTTGGTACTCAGAAATGAGATGTATGTATTCAGTGGAGGCTGCAAAGAGACCAACAATCTGGGTTTGTTTATCCTTTCTCCTATCCAAGAGGGAATATGCCTATAAGGAGAAATACCCCTGTCTATACTTACTTCCTGGTAGGAAAAGTTTGTAAGCCTTTCCCTTTTCCCTTTTACTTGCTGCTGTGAAGTTATTAACCCACAGAGCAACTGGCTGAACTTTTAAAATAATCTCAATAAGAGTGTTCAAATAGAATTAGTAAGTCCCAGTTGCTAACATCAGAATGGAAGTTAAAGCTGTTTGACCCATAGTCAGTAGGGCCCTAACCACACTGTTCTGGGGCCCATGCTGTGAGCTTAGTACTCTCAGTGGCTTCCTATAGCTTCAGTGAATCCATCCTGTCCCCTCTGGGCTCTGCCTTCTGGGAGGCTCCACTCCTGCTGGGAAGAGCCTGTCTAGAGGGCTGTCTGGGTGACTCACTCTTTGCTGCTGGGACATTTCCATCATCCGTCCAACTACTCCAAGCAGCACAGCTAAAGCACAGAACAACTTCCAAGCTCATACTGACATTTCCAACTCAGATTCATGATGGCAGGCTGGGTGTTTCATCACAGATAACACCTCTTTCTTCTTTTTCTCTGCTTCAAACACCCATACTGGATGGAACAAACGAGTGAACTGGCATATTTCATCAGCGCTTTCTTTTTGTAACACGTCTTAAGCTCCACCATATTAACTACTCTAGTGTTCGATGTAATTGTGAAAAGTTTAGTTCTTCTTTGCAATTACTTGTCTCATTTATTTTCATTTTTTTTTCACTAGCTGGACTGTAGCACACTTACCAGAGGGGTTGGCGACTAAGCATTGTTCTGCCCTTCCCCTTACTTTTCAGTTGTGTCCTGTCAACAGAGTGGTACTGCACATCTAGAAGCTGTCCTCACCTTTGCTGACATCTGTCTCACTCACTCTCTAGATGCACTCCCCGCCCTCACTATTGCTTGAGCTCCTCAGGGTCCTTCGTGATGGGTGTAAAAATATCTGCTTCAGATGTCTTAGGGAATTCTATAAACATTACCCTATTTCATGCTCCCTCACCATTACCTCTGCACCTCCACAAGTGGTAGGACACACATACAATCACTTTCTTCCAGATCCATGGGACCACACACTCCCACCTTCCTTAGGTCTTCTTTGAGTTTCCCACAACACTTTTCTCAGACTAAGCAGAGAGGATGCAACGAAGAGCCACCTACTGTATTTGTCTATGCAACATCAGTGCATAGAACCTAGCGTGAGATGATCTTCTTAATGTCTTGACTAATTGAGGGAGTATTTTTGGCAAGCAAGCAAGCAAATAATGAAAGAGAAGCAATATTCTATCTAAGGCACTTTCAATAAGACAGGAAAAATTTCAGAGTAACAAAGTCCTTGGCATTAATTACTAGGGCTCATCTTATAAGTGGTCAACCCATACTGAACTACACTCTGATGGGAGATTACACTCAGGAGAGGAACCCACGGAAATATTAAAAAACGTTGACCTATAGTGTTTTATCATTTTCAATAATACATAAATTACAAAGCTTCAAAGCAAACTAGATTAGAACTTAAGAATTAAGTACTGGTCAGGCATTGGTGGCACACACCTTTAATACCAGCAATTGGGAGGCAGAGGCAGGCAGATCTCTGTGAGTTTGAGTTCAGCCTGGTCTACAGAGTGAATTCCAGGACAGCCTCCAATACAATACAAAGAAACTCTGTCTTGAAAAACAACAAAAAAACCCCAAAAACAAAAAACCAAAAAAACAACAAAATATTAAGTACTGTAATTCCATGACTAAGTTCAACTTTGAACATGTGAAATTCTACTAAAAACCAAAACATTCTAAAATACAAGCATTCTTTTGCTCTTTACTATTTTGTCATATTCTGAATATATCACTATATACATACCAAGTTTTATTATCCATAATTATTTTCACTAAATTTTATAAGTTACATTGAAGGAAAACAGGTACAAAGGATATTGTCTCAAATTATATGTCTTTTCTTTTTAGCAATTTCTAATAAGACTTAGGCAGGCCTTATACTTTGTAGTCAAATTATCATTTTATCCTGCACTTAGTGTTTATTTCTCTGTTCTTAATTTTTGTGATGTGTGATGATACAAATAAACTTGGTTCTCATTTCCTCAGCAATGCTTCATTTTCTGCTGAAGTTTGATACATTTTCTGAACTGTATTGATGATATTTAGCCCACATAATATTTCCTATCAGTTTTAGGACAATTAAATATGACTATTAAAAGTTATTTTTGTGTTTTATATAGTTTGAGCCACAGCACTCAAGCTATAAGTTTTTTTTTAAACCTAGTATTTGTTGATCTAGATTCCCCTCTGATGTGGAATTCTCAGGTATTTAAAGCACATAGGTTTTATAATGGATGCTAGTACTCCCTCTTCTTGATGATGTAGGTGGGAGCTAATTGGGTCCTAGCAGCAGAGCTATACTTCTCAATTTTCAGTTACCATTAGCTTCTTCTTTCACTGTCCAGGTCTCTTTTCTTTTCTCCATTAGAACCCAAAGCAAACAAACTTGCCTTTTGTCACCAGACCTTTGACTTTACAACTCTGGATCTCTCCTCCATGCCTTTTAGCTCTCCTACCTAGCCTGTAGCTGAGCTACTCTCATATGTATGGTCCCTCCATGCTCACCTGGAGCACAGCTTGCTTCTTCCTTCTCTGCAGATAAGCAGAGTATGTCTGAGTTTTTTATATCTCCATTTCTATGTACTGTGACCTTCCTGCTTCCTCATCCCACTGAAAAAGGTCTAACCTCTGGACACATATTACTTCTTTCAAGAGTTAGAAGAAACAGCCAGGTGTGATGATGGTGCACGTTGCACTCCCAACACTGGAGAGGTAGTGACAGGTTCCTCACAGGAGTATGGGGTTTCTCATAGAAGTGTGGGTGAGTGGTTCCTCAGAAGGATTCCTCACAGAATTATGGGTGAGGGGCTCCTCATATGAGCGAGAGTCAAGTTCTTCACAAGAGTGGGAGAAGGAGTTATTCTCAGGAATGTCATTGAGGGATTCCTCAATGGGGGGTAAGTGAAGGGTTTCTCATGGAAGTGAGAGTGAGCTGTTACTCAGAGAAGCATGGGTTACTCTGAAGGAAGCTGACCAGCAAGTCCCATTCAAATATGGGAAATAACCTCCCAAAAGCTGCATAGAAAGACTTCCCAGAATCAGTCACTCTTCTACCTCTATATTTTGGTATCTTCTTGGACCACGTGAAGTTGAGTCAGGATGGAATGCAATTGGGAGCTTGAGCAGGAGGAAGTGAATGACTATAATCTCAAGTGAGAACCTGCTGATTCTCCTCTTGCCAACAAGGTCTGTGAAGAAATGTTAGTAAACTCAGTATTTATTATGAGTTTCCTACAGGTCATCAGAACAGTTTTGAGTTCCAGGTGGCACTGGCTACATCCCACCTAGAGGACAGAGTTCTACAGTATTGTCTCACAAAGTAAAAATCAGGAATATTTAGCATGTAACTTCATGTATCTACACACACACACACACACAAAGAGAGAGAGAGAGACAGAAACAGAGAGGTATGTATATTTCAATCCTTTCTTGTTCAATGTTTATATTCTTAACAGACGCCCAGACCCTCTCCCCCACATTTCCCACCATCTTGCATGAATTTGTATCATCTGGTTAAAAACAGAACCTTTCTATCAGATATGTTCTACTAGTTACAGGGGCTAGTCTCTCTGTCAGGGGAGAGTCAAGTGAAGTGGTCATCTATACTGCTGGGTACATTAGAGACAGGCACTTTGTCTTCTGTGCTGGGCCCTTTAGTGGTCAATCACAGGCATAAAATAATTTGGGGGTCAGATATTTTAGTCAAAATATGTGACCTCAGTTTATCTCAGCATACTGCTGGCCGGAGCCAGAGCTCGATTCCAGGCGACATTCCTCTGCAGCGTCTCTTCTCTCTCCCATTCCCTTAGTTATAGTTTCTTGTGTGTCAGGGTGGACTCTGGGATCTGTTCAGGGCTTTGGTGTTTACCACATTGTTCAGATTTGTTCACTGATGGCATTATCTACTTGGTATTTTCCATCATTCTATATTTATATGGTTCTTTTCAAAGCTGGTCATCTCTACAGGGAGTGTGGGATCCTTCCATAGGAAGTTGTTAATAACAAGCCCTGCTGTGTAAAGAGTTCATAGTTCTGGGGTTACTGCTTCAGCAGACACAGCTGCACCAACCAGTAATGTAACCCCTCCCATGTTATGCCACCCAGCCAAACTTGAGATCACAGTAAAGCAAACAGTTCTCATTTACTATCGTGTGGTCCATTGAATGTTTCAGCCTCAGTGCTTCCCCTGCTCTAACAACATGAGATGATCACTCCCCAGTACTGCTTAAGATCATTTCTTCTGGACTTATAGCTGAAGGTTAAGTTTTGTCAGCCTTTTGTTATTTCACGAGTTCCAATGTTTGTGTCTGGTAAATGGAAATTAGCACAAGGACTGTGGAGGTTCTTTGTGTCTTTAATGATCTTTATTACTCAGTGTGATCTGAGAAACTTCATGGGTCAAAGATGTCTGGTCTCAGGGTGGAAGGTGTCCCATGGAAACTGTGGTAGACCTAAGGTAGAAACTGTGACTCAGGAAGAATGTGAGGAGGACAGAGAGGCTTTCTTCTCTAGGGACTATAGCAGGTACAGGACTATATGTGGCTTCAAGGAGGAGACTGGGGGAACAGTCTATCAGAAGAAGATCCATTTCCTAAATACCCATGGCAAAAGCCATGATCTAGGCAATCACAGATCACCAGTTTGCAACAAATCTCTCTGTTTATGTGTCAGGAGGCCTGGACAAACAAATTCTGTGGACTAATCACTGCATAGATTCCTGGATTTGCATTGGGGATGGAAGAAATAATTCTTATTTCTTATTTCAGTAAGTACCAAAATGAACACTCTTGCTGTTACATTGGTAGGGGGTGCCAAAATGACCTTAGGGCAGAGGAAATAAGAAATACACTACTTAAGAAGTGGTAAATACAGTCAACCTCATCTTCAGTCCAGTTGGTTACTGGTTACTTTCAAAGATCACAAAAGTGATAGCAAAGATTAAATAAAGACACAAGCCCAAGGACAGAGGGCCAACAAGACAGTAAAAGATGACAGTAACAAAATCTGGACAGAGAACATATCAGGTCAGCATTTGGAAGCCCAGGGTTCCCAGATGTCTGAGAATAATCCAATAAAAGACACACAGAAGAAACAAAATGAGAGAAAAAACCAAGACACTTGGAGAAAACAAAAAGTTACAAAAAAACTTTGAAAATGATAGTCTCAGGACATACGAGAAGATAATACACGCCTAAAATAGAAATGGGAGTTTATATGAAAAGGAAAGAGATTCAAAGAGCCAGAAAGATCCCTTGCATATTAAAATTTGATGTACCAAATCCCAGCAGTAGGATTGGGATATAATCTTGCAAAAATTTCCTAGAAAGTAGAACAAAAAATAAAGAGGGAGGAAGACAGACCTGACAATAGTTAGATGGATGGGGGTTAAGTAAGTCCAGTGCCTGTGAGACTCAGAGTAAAGCGTAGTATGTGAGGGAGTGATGGGAAACTGAAAGCAATGTGTGTTCACAGCTGAAGGACACAGGGGTGCAGGCTACAGACGAAGGACGCACTAAGGACCCAGCACAACCATCCCGGAATGGCAGGCAGCAGACGGGGAGGTGTGGGGAGAAACAAAAAGCCAGGACCCAGCTCCAGGGGGTGTTCATGGATGGGCATTCTGTGTGGGCTGTAGGACAGGCGTTTGGAGTTAGAAGAAAAGTTGAGTTTCAGTCTGACATCTAACATCCCAATAAATGAGCCACACAGATGGAGACTGAGGATAGACTGTGCATATGTGTACCATGCATGTGTGTGCAAGGCACATGCAGCACACGCATGTATGTGCGCAGGCACATCTGTGCATAAATCACATGCTAATTATACACTGTAATCCATTCATCCCATCCTTTCCTTGAATCACTGATTTACAGTTTAATATTTTCATTTTATGTGTGTCAGTGTTTTTCTGTATATGTGCATGTATACCATGAGTATGTAGCGTTAGGAGAGGGCAACGGATTCCCTGGAACTGAAATTTCAGACGGCCATGAGTTGCCTTGTAGGTGCTGGGAAATGTATCGGGATCCTCTGCAAGATCAGCAAGTGCTTTTAACTGCAGGCCCATCTCCCTATCACATTCATTATGGTTTTTTTTATGACAGGAAAATGACAAATAATTATCTATAATATCGGGAAATATTTGCTACATGTAAATCTGGTCAAGTAGAGTGTGAAATTCTACTGGAAGGTTGCTAATTCTCCCAAAATGAAAAGAAAATGGTAGTAATAGGACTGGTCCTTTCTCTCCTCTCAGAACACATGTGTGGCCTCGAGAGTGGCACCACAGAAGAGGTCGGGGAAGAGCAAAGTGACTGAGGAAACTGCCGACAGTGTCCCTCCACTTTAGACCCGGCCTTGGAGCAGAGCAGAGCCCCGAAGTGTGCCTCCAGGGTTGAAGTTTAGTCGCTAACAGTTGAAGGTAACAATAATGCTTCTTTAATTCACAACAGAGTAGACCCTGGCCGGTCAGGGTGGCCAGTTTTGGCAAAAGGGGGCACAGGTTCAAGTGAGGAGGCCACAGGGACTTCCCAGCACAGGATGAGCTGCTCCACATCCGGTTGATAGTCTAGAGGGACAATGGCTGGACCCAGAATTCTGCAGACCCTAAGGGAAGGCTATTGACAATGAAAGATTAAATGCTGGGAAATTCCTCTTAAAATTAGACTGTAACTGGGTTTGGATGGTGGCTTCAGGGAAAGTGTTTGTGAATTTGGATTGGGCATAAGGAATCTAACATACTAATTCCCATATCAGAAAGTCAATAGATTGACCTTTGCCAGGATTAAAAGAAACATCAATCTATGAGAGTTGGGCAGATCCTCAGTACCTGCCATGTGAAAGTGAGGACCTCTGTTCAGATTTCCAGCATCCATATACAAATAACAGGCATGGCATGCACCTTTAATCCCAGTTCTGGGAAGGGGAAGGCATGTGGCTCCTTAGAGCTCATTACCTAGATAGCCTAGCCAATCATGCCCTCTAGGTTCAGTGAGACACGCTGTCAAAAGTTATTTTAAAAAAATTTAAAGGTGAGGAGAGTAACTGAGGAAGGCATCCAATATTGACTTACAGCTTCTACACACAAACACACACACACACACACCTCTACCCTCAGCCCACATATACACAAAGAAACAGCAATATGTGAGCCTTTCCCAGCACTATAGATATATACACACACACAATGCACATATACATATGCACACATGCACAAACGCAGGCACACATATGCATGCATGCACAGATATACACATCCACACACAGAAATAGCAAATTCACAGATACACATATACACACACAGAAACAGCAATGCGTGTGACCCACTCAGCACTATAGAGGTACACATTAGAACAGGGGCTGAGAGAGGGGCTTTGGAGAGACAGATGGATAGATGGAATGGATGGCATGCGTGGATGGATGGATGGCCACTGTTTTCCTCAAACACTGAGGAACTGCCTGATCTGTTAACTCCAAGCAAATGTGTAGTTTCGATTTAAAAAATATTAAAACATTATGTTTTATAAGGTGTTTTGTTTATGTTTTCACATCCCAGCCTAAGCTCCCTCACCCTCCTCTACTTCCAATTCTTCCCCGCACCTTCCCTCTACCCCTCCTCTGTATCCATTCCTCCGCCACCGTTTTTCTTAAGCTATCCCACGGATATCAGCCAGCCAAGGTATATCAAGTTGCAGTGAGAATAGGCTCCTTCCCTTCTGTTAAGGCTAGATGAGCATTCCAGTAGGAGGGATGGGTTCAAAAAGCAGGCATCAGGGTGAGAGACAGCACCCCCTGCCCCCACTGTTAAGGGTCTCACAAGAAGCCCACCTAGGCCTCTGTGTATATTTTGTGAGTTTAAGGTAGACTCATGCTAATACCTTAAATTATTTTAAATATGAAGGCTTTTTTATCATCCGTATCTATCTCCAGCTGTTGGTCACTGTCATTTTAGCATTTCTAATTGAAGGGAAAATATCAAAATCGAAATAGATGAATACAAAAACATAGTCCCAGACAATGTGAGTTTTCTGCGCTAAAATTTGGAGCCTGATAAGTACTCACAATTAAGACAGCAATGGGAAGTGACTGCCAGATATTGTCTGTGTGTTTTCATGAACTACATGCACAGAATGCCTGAACACACAAGATCCGTGCTAGTCTCAATTTAAAACACTGCAGAAATGACTTCCATGTCTTTTCTCCATTCTTTTCATTTTGAACCACAATTTAGTCTTCCTGTCACACAGCAATGAATTCCAGGTGTCTTCAGGGCCTTGTTCATCCCTGGAAGGTCTGGAGTTGCTGCCCACTTCCAACTCCTGCTGGGCTGAGTTGCTTCCCTGGCCATACAGGACCAAGGCCCTGTTTTACCCAATAACCTCAGCCAGAAGTCTGTTTTCACCTCTTCCTCTTTGGGTTTTTTAATGTGACTCTCTTCCTAGAGCTTTCTACAGCCATGATGGACAGACTGAGCTGTTCTCATTTCCCTGTGTCCTCTTTCACTTAATACTTTCACCAAATAAATAGGAAATACCATGTACAGACTTCAGGTGAACGTAGCTGAACCAACCCAATACCGGGGTGAAAACCATTTAGGGAAGGAAGGCTCTTGGGACTGCTTTCAGGTCATCATTGATGCAAAGCTAGCCAAGAAATTCTTTCCTATGTCCCAAATATTGGTCATTGACATGGCAAAATAACTATATAGAAAGAAAAGCAGTCCTTCGACGCCCCAGGGTGGCTTGAGGTTAGCATTTTCAAGCTATTCAGCCAAAGCTCTTTAGGGCTTGCTATCTTATCTAAAGAACTCAGTGTCACCCTGAGAATGTGCAGTGGCACCACAGCTCATCAGTGAACTCTGCACTGGGCTGGGCAGCAGTGATTACAATACAGATGGCAAACTGTTAGCATGTGAAAGACAAATGGAAATGAGCATTAAAGATGACAGAAATCAAATATTCACCTGGGCTACTATTATCTGCCTTCTCCTTTTCTAACTATGCAACTGGGGA